TGTAAATGAGTGAGGAGCCAGCAAAGCTACAGATCACTGTCATGGTGTTCACAAAGTGTTTCCAGTCTCTCAGCGTGTAAAGAAATATGATTCTCTGATGATGTAATGTCAACATGTCCCACTTTTTAGGGTGAGACACCCTTAAAATGTAGAGTGGTGGGGTTTCCTAGGGACCTAGCTTTTCTAGCAAAGCAAAAAACTGTTCTTTGTATTTATTAAATACACACAGAAAGCAAAGAATGAAAGAGGAAACTGGTGAAAAACGTCTGCACAACTTCCTTTACTCTTTCCATTTTTGTGTAGCAATTCTGAAAGGAAAAGCCCTCCTGGACAGTCCTGCAGAGGGCACATGACTTCGTGTTGAGAGAAGGATTACTAAGGGGTTTTTTCAATATATTCCCTTAAGAAAATAACAAAGGAAAAAATATAAAACGTAGCAAACATGTTGCTTTTGTCTGTATTTTTCTAGTGGGTCAATTCCTGGAGGATTTTATAAAACGTATGCAATCTGTAGAGAAGCAGCTAAAGTTTAGTGCTGTAAAAACAGCTTAGAAATGATCTGTGCTGGCAGATTTCGGGCAATCTGCTGGAAAAGTGAATCAGGGAACTTGCAGGATCATGGTGCCTGTGCAAATACGACGTGTGATAATTAATTGAAGGAGATGCTGCCTTACTTGATTTTATCACTGAAGAATGAGGTGCATCTGAAGGGACTCAATTTTTATTCATAAATGCTGACAACTGTGTGTGTTATCATTAACTCCTTAATAAACCATCGTTGCCATTGCTTAAAAAGCGTTTGGCTTTCCTGGGAAGACATTTGGGCCAGTAGAATGGGACTATTATATTCATATTGTATGTGCCTCCAGAAATATTTGAATTTACCAAAGACAATAGGTAAATGGTTTGGTACAAAAATAATCCCTGAACATAACACTTGACTTTCAAGTCCTTGTTCCACAGTAAGTGTTCCAGCATTCATGTTTATTTTTACATTTCCTTTTGCTATTGTTTCCAAACTTCACTCTGTAGTGTTGGGAGGAAGTAAAAGAAGTGACAACTTTCCTGACTTGGCTTTCTCGTGTGTAAGTCACTAGATGGTGCCATTTCACTTCTGTGGAATCAGAAAACTGTCTTACATGTTATTTTTGGTAACAATTATTAGCTATGTTTTTAAAATAAAACAATTGGACTTAGGAGTCCTTTTTTTGAAACTATCACTTTTTTTTTTCTGAGTCTGTGCAATATAGATGTTTTGATCAAATAAAACTAATGTATGAGTAATAATGTACAAATATTTAAAGTTCTGTTCTTTTAAATTGTCACCAACTTTTAGTTTTATATTCCTTTACATGTTTTACTGACGTGACGATGGGACCCGACTCGGTACAAACACGTGTTTTAAACGTAGAATTGTTGGTGAGTACCTGCAGCTGATGTGAATTATGAGGCACACGTCCCTTCAGCTGAGGCAAAGTGGTTTCCATGCACTGGCAGTTGCTCTGCATTTCTGTGTGCTCAGAACTGAAGAGAGTCAACAGTGGCTCCTTTGTGTCCTGGGATGCCACAGAAACTTGGTGCAGTTCCAGGTAACACGTTAAAAGTTGTTCTTGGAACTGTTGTTTCCTAATTTCACCTGAAAAAGCTGCATAGTCGGGTGTATTGTCACAGCTCGTGTTCTGATTAAGAGCTAGGTACAAGTGATGGCCACTTCATTTTCTGTTTAGCTGCTCAGAAATAGGCTTCCAAAACCACTTTTTGCAAAATGGCTTTGACACTTTTTTTTTATGAGAATGGCAAAGTAGAACTTAACATTCGCAGGAATGTTTATAATTAATAAAATTACTTATTTTGAGTGATCCCAGTATTGGGTTTGACTTGCTGGCCATCAGATTTTTCTCAGTGAGAAATGACATTTTAATTAAAACACAGGGAATTTGAAGTCTCTCTGTGAACATTTCCTGTTGAATATGGAGCCAAAACTGAAATAAGGTGTCAGATTTTACTTTTCTGTAATATTCCTGATTATGTGACATTTTTGGAGTGTAGATCATATAAATATTGCCTTTTTTTAAGGACGTGTGTGGGAGGTTAAGCTCCAGTCTATGTTTTCTAGTGATGAAGGAAAATGTCTTCTTTTAAGTAGAACGAAAACCCAAGGAAAATAAAATAAAGTGAAAGTGTTAAATATTTAACACTTAAATTTAACATATTTTAATTTTAAATTAAATAATTTAATATTTAACACTTAAACTTAAAGATTTAAATATTCCTTGCAAAATAGTAATAAAACCCTTCCAGTGTCCTTTTGAATTTTTATGTCCAAGCTGTATTGGTGTTTAAAAATGCCCACACCACAACGAAGTCATAAGCTGATTTTTCAAAATATGCTCGTTGTGTAAGAATAACTATTTACAGTTTTCTTGTAGAATTTCAGAAGTTCTGATGACTTGCAGATAATAAAAAAGCAGTGGTTGGTGGTGGTGCTGATTTTCTGAGCCACTTGGTGGCATCAAGTCTTTGAGTTCACCAGTTTCATTTCCTTAAGGTCTTGACAGTAGGGGAAGGGAAAAATGGGGCAGATTATAAAGCCCCTCCACATTTAGAGCAACTGGTGCCTTCTTGCATTTAGAGGAGGGGGGAAAAAAAATCGATATTTATTTACTTTATAACTTGGCTTTTGTCAGGCAGCAGTTTGAAATGCACAGTTCAAACCTCCCCACGGGTACCACACATCTGGGCATCTTAATTGTTCACTTAGAGCTTTCTGCAACAGGAAGACAAATGATTCAATATTAAATTTATATGTTGAATTAAGGGTAACAGGTTTAAAATGGAGGGCTAGGCCTTAAACTGAGATGAGAATCAGTGTATTGATCTTGCTGTAGAATTAATGAAAATAACATTTTACTTCAACACATTAAGCTTTGCCATAGCAAAACTACTCCATTTTCTTTCCACCATTTTAGCTGAAGTCAAGAAGACTTTTTTTTGTCCCCCAACACTTCTATTTTTAATATGCTTTGTCAGAAGTTAAAATTTGCTTTTGTTGGGCAATAACTTTTAGGTGTATATATTAAAAGAATCCTTTGGGGTTTGTTGTTGTACATCAGAGATGATATGTGTGGAACTTTTTGTGACTCGGTGCTCCCTCGGCAAGTTTTGAAACACATTTAGTTGTCCAAGGTGTGTTGTACCCCTACACTGTTCACAGTGGAGAAAATGCCAAAATAAGGTATTTATCATGATCCCACTGCACACACCTTTTAGCAGAGCAGCCTTAGGAAGGGATGGAAGGAGAGCTGAACACCCCTTGTGCCATCTAACTCCTTCACTTTGCTGGCTTAAGTTATTTATTCTTCATTTCTGCTCTTGGAGGCTCAGAAATGGGTCATTCCACTTAAAAAGAAGTGAATTGAGATTTTTGTAACTTGGTTTATTGTGGCAACTACATCTGTCTTTCTGATCATGCCTGATTTTTTCCAGACATCTCAAATATTGGGCATGTAAGAATGACACAAGGAATCTCCTGGAAACTGTTAAAAAATGTGGTATTTCAATGGGATTATTAAATGACAGTAACTACAGAGCCCAGAAAACACATGGGTTTGGATTCTTTCAGCTCAGGGACCACTGGCAGTGCCAGCTGGTAACACAATATTAAAGAAAAATAACACTTCTCCTGTGCTTGCATTTTCCAAGGCAGCACGGATTTCATAGGAGGACTCCACGCAGTTAGAGGGTGACATAAGTGGGAGTAGCAGGAATATGATTTGTGTGAATCCCTCTTCTTTTGCTTAAGTTTGTTCTTTTGCTCAAGAAACAATTCTGAATGAGACATTTCCCCCCCAGTGTGGGGTGTGTTTTCTTTGCTGGCACTGTGAGAATTTGCCTTGGCTGAGGTTTTGATGCTTCTTTTTACAGGTGTCAAGGATGTTGCCTGCGAAAGAGAGTGATTGATGGATGTTTTTAATCAGTTGAGCTGAAGATTAAAATACACAATAAAATGTTACTCTTCAAGAAGAAACAAGAGAAACCAAAGAAAAAGCATAAAAATTTATTATCTGATCTTGTCTTTAAACACCTTTATTCAAACAGTAAGTAACGCTCCCCATAGCACACAACTGCTGCTTTTTAAATATTTTCAAACACTTCAACAAGATGACCTTCATGTGTTTGTTTATGTGAGATAAAAATGCTGGAATATGCAATGTACTTAGTTGTAAGATTGTGCTGCTAAATTTCATGTACAGTAAGTAATAAGTTATTTCTCGTGGCACTCAAAAGCTGGGTTTTGACAGTAAACAGTTTTCTTGGGGATGGAAGGGGAAGAATCTAAAACATTCTGTGCTAAAACTGTCTGCATCTGCCTTTTTTGAAGGAGAAAACACACATTATAAGAGTTTATTTATTTAAAATCACAACTGTGGTGCTGCTGCTACTGAATGTAAGATGGCTCTAAGCATGAAGTTCAGATTGTGGTGTTCAGCAGCGTTCAGACCTGGAGTTATTTTAGGAATAAGCCTGTGCTCTGTCACTTCCTCTGTGTGTATTAAGTACAAGCACTTCAGATCCTCACTTTAAATGTCCAGTTCAAGAGGAATTCTGCATGCATTGGGGCTGGGCTGGCTCCACCCTTTTCTTCCTGAAGTCAGTGACATTCCACATTGTCTCCAGTGGAAACAGGGTCAGGTTTATGCTTCTCACCCTCAGAAATGTATAATGAGACTCAAGTATCTAGTTTATAAGGTCTGAAAAGATAATTTAGATTATTCTCTAGGAATTAAGTTACTGAAGTCAGAGAACTAAATCAGCAAAACCGTCTACTGTTTAATTGCAGCTGTAATATACACTGTAAAATCAATCAGGATTTATGATTAAATGACAAGTCTGCTTAAAAGCAGCAGCGACTGCATTATCTCCACATCATTCATACACACACTATAAATAAGAGCAGGATAATAAGACATGATGCTTCTCTCATTTCAGTGACAGTCATGTCTGGAAGGTGAGCTGTTCCTCTAGCAGTAGTGTTTGTTCAGCACTGAGTTCCTGGGTTTGAACTCCATTAATAATCCTTGTGGCTCCCATTGCATTTACACTTCCCTTTTCCTCCTTTCCAGCTCCACTGGTGGATGTACTGGCATCATTTGCTGTGCTTCTAAAAACTGCATCAGCTGAACAACCCAGTTCAAACTCTTATCTCAAATACAGTTTGCCCTTTATCTTGTTTTTATTCACGATGCTGAAACCAATACCCTGATTTAGCAGGGAAGAGTTCTTGTAGCTTGATGAGAGTGTTCAGACTGGAACACCTGTGGGAAAACCTGTGCTAAACAAACCATAAAACTGGAGTTTAGGATTAACTGTAAAATCAGTTAAAACACCCAGACTCAGCGAGCAGCAGACATGAAAGGAATGTGGTGAGGAATTCAGCTCAGGGGTATTCACTGATCATATCTCTCTGGAAAACAAGGGAATGAGGGCTACACAAAACTTTTGGCTGGTACCTGGTTTTAGTACTCTCTTGAGGCTTATCATTAGCCAAGAACAAGAGACCACCAATCCAAAGTAAATCAGTGCTGTGAGTGAAAAGGGGCTTTTGTGACAGAGCAGGGCATCACATTTTGGAGAGGTCTTCCTCCTTGCACGTGCCTGGTTTGTAGATGACACCTCTGTTGTCTTGCCCTTCCTTTTTGCAGCTAAAATAAAACAAATGTATTAAATAACTGTAATGCCAATGAAGGAAAAGCACCATTAGTTACTTAAGATGGTCCATTATGCATGCAGGAGATTATTTTTCTCTGTACCAGTGCAAATGTCACAGTAGCTTATTGTTGCAAATATTTCAGGAGAACACATTCTGTGTGCAGAGTCAATTCAGGATGCGAAGGGATCAGGTTGTAGGAAAGTTTGTAATCTTAGATTTTTTTCCCTGGATTTGGTTTTGTTGGCAAACAGTGGCTAAATGATCTTTTAACAATACATATTTCTTCCCCTAAAATGTTGTAAACTTTGGGAGGGGTTTTTCTAAAATTCCATTCTCTTCGTTTCCCTCACTGTTCTAGGAAATATTCTGGGGTTTGTGTTCTCCCTGATTCTCACACACAATTCTCTGTTTCCTGGCCTTGCATCTTTTAAGGGTTTACTTGAGCTCTGCTCCAGCAATTATTATTTTGTGGAAAAACAACTGTATATGTTTGCTTTTCACAAAACCCAGCCACTCCTACAAAGGCAGAACCGTGGCCACTCTGGCACAGAGGTTGCAGCACAGAGAGACCTTTCAGCCAAATAAACATACTTTGCTGGCAATAAAACAGAATTGCTTTGGAGTGTATGATACAGGGGAAATAATGTCTACAGTGACAAAAACAAATCAAAGTTTGTAGGAAGAGATCATGTCTTATAAAAGATCAAACATTACTTAGACTCACAAGCACTTCTTTGTGTCAGAGGAAAAATTTGGGGTTTGGCTTCCTTTTCTGTGATGTGACAGGCAGACATCTTACCTTCTCTTCCTCAGGAGCCACAGGGCTACTGCAAGGATGCTGAGGACTGCCAGGATGCAGGCTATCACAGCAGAAACAACAAAACCTAGCGAGGGAGGGAAAGCATCCACAACTGTCAGTATCCTTGACTTGAGAGGAGAAGGTTAGTGCCTAAGGTGTCATAACATTTGCATTCTGCAGCTGCAGCTTCCCTGCAGCCTGTTTTGTGATTATGGAGTGGATAACTTTGCACAGATGTGCCCTGGAAGGTCCTGCTCCCACAGCTGGATCCACAGCTCACCGTGCTGGGAAGTCAGACACACACTGGAGTCACAGCACCAACATGCACAGGCAGAGAGGTCAGAAAATCTTGATTTTTGTGCTATAATGTATAAGAGATCATAAGCAGAACTAAAGAAGTAAACCCAGGCAAGTTAGGCTGTTAAATTCAAAGCCTTTTGCTTTTTCAAGGCAGAACACCACTGAGTGTGGAGAGCTGAAAAGTGATCTGCTTTGCTGTTGAGAATATTACTTAAAGGCACTGAAGAAGGTAAGAATGAATTCAGGATAGTGGTATGAAGATCTGAGTGTTCCCTTGTTTGCATAGAGGTGTTAAGCATTATAATTATAATTCTATATTTGCTAGTGACCTTCATATACGTATTCTGGCAATAAAGTATTTTTATTTATTTTGACCTCCCCAAAGATCCTGAAGGTGAGCTCTCTTAACTGCATTTTCTTAATTCATTGTTTTTTACCTTTTATCCAATGACTATTTCTCTCTAAGCAACATCAGAACTCTTTCAAACTGTCAGGTTTCATATATTCCATCTAAATATTTTCTCTTTTTAAATCAGCTGTTGAGAAAACCAAAATGTAAAACCTGGCATTTAGCCTTATCCCATTTAACTCATTATTAATTTTAAGTCCAACTGAATGGAAGAAGCTCAGAACCCATGGAGTTGAAGGAGAGCTATTTTACAAAAAGGGAGTTCTGTTATAGTAAAGGTGCATCAAATGGACAAGAAAATACAACACCAAATAGATAACTGCAGAAAAAAGAGCTTGTAGTTTGAAGAGGAAGGTTAGGGAGCATTTCTGTCTGATGAGACAATCTTCTTACAAAATTTGCTTAGATAGAATTCCAGTATGGTACCATAACCAAAACTAGACACCAGTTCCCACTGAGCTCGTGGGCAGTGGAAGGTTTGAACATCATAACAAATTCCAGCTGCATGAACGTGAAGCTGATTTCATTGGAATAGATTGCTGACAGCCAGAATACATTATGAACATATGTGAGTTTTGCTGCATAATCCTTCAAGATTAGAGACCTTTTGAAATGTATTCTTGTTAAGAGTGAGCATGAATTTAGATATTAATTATTGGCATCAAAAATGTGGATGACTGAACACTTCAGTCATTTGCAATTTTGATGCCAAACACAGGCCAGTGGCCTCATCTTGTGGCCTCTGTGCTCAGGTGGAGGTGGCAGCCTTGGCACTGAAAGGGTAGAAAAGTTGCTCTGAACAGCTGCTTAGTTGGGCTCTAGGTGTGTACAACGGGACTTCTTTCACAAATTTCTGGGGTTGCCTGGCCCAAGCCATGATCCTTTTATGGCTTTTCCTTCCCTTCTCAGGTGTGCTCTGTCCCTACCCGTGGTTCAGCTGCATCAGGCTGGGCACTTCCAGCCCCCAGCCAGCTGGGCTGAACTGTGCTTTGATGGCAACATTTTTTTGCTTCTTTTTCTTTGTCTTTCTTTTTTTGCCCTTTAGGTGAGGGGCTGCACCTGTGAGGGAGCCTTTGTGACTGTGGTGAGAGGAATGTGAGATTACAGGGGCCATGAATACCTTTTCTGAAATGGGTTGAACATTTTTTCTATGGTTCACTGATAGAGTCAATGAGCTTCTGTAATTAAATGTTGTTGGACTGAATGGAGTTTCTATTCAAGGAGCGCTGAGCAGCCTCTTTCATAGCCATAAAGACCAGTTCTTGGGTAAGAACAGCAGGATGGGCAATAAGCCACACCGTTTAACTCTGCTAAACCATGCCAGCTTTAAAGAGACACTGAAAATGTTTCTGTAGCTGGTGTCACCTCTCCGTGGGAGCCAAATAATGTGGCTTAGCAGAGGGGGAGCCAAATGTTATTATTGGGTTTGGCACTGGTTCACAGCAACAGTTTTGAGAAAGTCACATCTGGGTCAGATTTCCCCCCACGGATGGAAATAATGCTTATGCTATTTCTGTGAAGTGTTTGGAGATTCCTGGATGAAAATATAGTGTCTGATTTTCAGTTACTGGGATCATGGATTGTAACTCTCTACCTTCTACTTTTAAGTACTGAGTGTGATTTACAGAACGAATGTAAGTCAGTGCTGAAAAGTGAACTTAAGGAACAGATGGATAAGTGCCTTTCTCATTTCTGACTGACCAGTCTGACTCAGAAAATCACTAGCTCTTGGGTGTGGTTAGGAATCAACAATATCCCTGCCAAGTCCACCGGGTATTGAATTTTGATAAATCTTGATAAATTGATAAATTTTGATAAATTTAAATAATTACTAATTATGTGCATTAATTCCAGAGAAGGCACTCAAAAGAAACTTCATGGTAGTTCCTCTTACAGGAAGCTTTAGAAAGATTTTAAAATGTTGCCATGAGAACTGAAATGGCCCCCAGCCACAGGAGGACTTCTGAAATTGTCTCTGGGTTTTATCTCAAAGATGGAGATTTGCTTCAAGTCAGGGCCAAACGCTGCTGATGCCCCACACTGCTCTGGCTGGGGATTTGGTGCAGCTGAACTGACAGGAGAACAGCCACCTTTGGGTGACAAGGCTAAATCATCACTGATTGCAGAGAAATGTTCTGCCAGGGTTTTTTTGGCTGATCTCTGATTTTCACTCTTCTTTATAGGTTTATATTAGAAGAGACCTGTTATGAAATGGTCTGTCTGCAGGGGGGAATGGCAGGAACAGTTACTGCAGTGTGTCTGCAGGGAACTGTCCCTGCAGTGGCTGCTGTGTGACATTTCTCAATATACACAACTCCTGTGCTTTCTGTTCTTTCATCTAAACGGTGAAGAAACTGGCAGGTGAGGGTGAAATGATGTCCTAACACATTTTATTAATTTGAAAGTTTACTGCTTGGCCAATCTTTTTTGTGCTGTCTCCTTTTTCTTTCAGAAATCTTTTAGTCTCCATTTCAAACAGTAGAGGGGCTTGCCTAGACTCCTCTGCCCTCAGTGTATGTGCCACCTTCACAGATGCCTGAGTATTTGTTTGTAAGACTACAAAGAATTTGGAACAATACATTTTGCACAAACAATATACTCCAATGCCTTCCTGTGGGTACAGCTCAGCTCCTCACCACAGATGCAAACTTTTGTGCAAACCCCCCACTAAACCTATGCATTGCCATTGTGTAACCCTGCATAATTAAGCTTTTAAATCAGTTTTTCCTCGTAAGATGACCTTTTTTTTTTTTTTATTTGTAACCCTGGATCACACAATCCAGTGTTATGAATTATTTTTATTTGTCAAATTTGAATTCCTCAAGGACCTCCTCTGATTCTGTGTGATTTCCCCAAAGCAGTGTCCCTGAAAGGCAGAGTTGTGATTCCCTTCAAGTGTGTGGTCTGCTTAAAACCAAGCCTGGCACTGCTGAGAACCAGCAAACATCACTGGTGAGGCACGGCCAGCTTAAGGTGTCCAGTGTTTGTAGTGACAGCAAATACTTCTGCTAAGCATCAGAAGGCCAAATGTGTTTTTCTTCTTTTACCTCCTTGCCTTTGATCAGAAGGGTTGCAGGTCTTGCCTGACACCCCCTGTGGAAAAAATAATTCTTATGTACTCTGTGAGTACCTTATTCTTGTACAGCTGCCCGTGCAACAGTGCAGTAAGAGAAGAAAAGGGAACAAAGGGATCTGCTGGAAAATGAGATTGCTGTATTTCTGCAGTGGTACAGATGCAACAGCACTGCCACCTCAGTATTTCAAGTGTCCCCAAAGGACTGGGCACTGTTTCTTTGCACAGAAGCATTCACACAACTTACCTTCACGGAAGGAGATGAAAACCAGTCTTTCATGAAATTCCTGAACGTTCCTGAAGTTATCCACCATTTCCAGGGGCTCTGGGTCGTCACTCTCCGTGCAGTACATGGCTGTTTCCAGGGCCAGGAGCTAGAAAGGGAAGCACCCTGTTCAGCTCCCAGGATCCAGAGAAAGCAGTGCCAGGGTGTGTGTTTGAAATCAAAGGGAAGGGGATAATTAAGTGGTACTTAGGTCTTATGTGGCCTGTGAGCCCAAATACAGAATACTGTGTAAAGAGTGAGGCATCACCAAATGCACAGCTGTGTTTTGTTTACATCCTGATAACACTAATCCTGCTTAGTGATTATCTGCCAGGAAAACTGGAGGGGAGGAAACATGGTGGCCTTTTCCAGTATGCTCCCCCTAGCACAGTCTAACTCCTAAGCAGTATTAAAAGCTACTTTATGAAAGAACTCTTTACTCTGCTATAGACACAATCTGACTGAGTGGACGAAGGTAAGAATGGATTTTCATAACGAGGAGCATGCAGTGATTTAATCAGAGACTTTGATAATAACATTTTCCCCTGTGTCTGTAATTAGGTGAATCAGAAGATAGTGACTGTGAGTTTATTATAGTTTGTGTAAGTGGTCACCTAAGAACCAAAGAAGTTAATTAGATGAGCACAAAAAATATCAGCTGGGAGAAACACTAGGGATCCAAGATTGACAAATAACACATCACATGCTTTTTAGAAACTTAACATCTACCCAACCTGTCATACCTAAGTCAGGATCCAAGTAGCACTAAAATGCTTAGTGAGTAGTATTCAGACATGGAGTGTGAACAAAGTAATCTGCAAGTAACTCATGGAAAGTCTTTACGCAGGGAGTAAGGACACAGTGAAAACAGAAATTAATCTCACTTGACTGTGGTGTTTTCAAGCTGATACTGCACCAATGGCTATGCTGTTGTCTGTCATTTATTTATTCTGGTCAACTGAAAACATGCTAACTCCAAACAGAACAAGGTATTGATTTATGTCACTTCTGTGCTGTTCTTCCCACTTGAAGGCTTTTAGCAATGGCTCTCTTTCACTTTTACAGGAAGATAAGAGCAATCCAGGAAATGAGAATATGCATTTACTGTTCTGACCCCAGCCAGGGAAACATGTGCTCTATTGAAACTTGCCTGCTCCTGTGAAATTGTGACGGGGTGTCTGAAAACTGTCCAGAGAACGCTGGGGTAGCAGGGAGGAGTTGTCAGGGATCCTTCATAGCGATAGAACTCATCCAGCCTGGCAGGGAGCAGCTCTCCAACGTTGAAACCAGGCACTTGGACCTTCTGATCTAAAAAGGGGATTCATGTAAAATCCTGCATCATTCCTATACATGCAGTGCACCAGTGAAGTGAATTTACTTTTCAGTAAGTAGGTGTTTTCAGTGTCCTATCACTGGGATAGGAAAAATACCTTTTAGCAGAGATAGTCCCAGTTCAATAAGGAACACAGCTTTTTAGGGTTTCTATGTACAAATCTTGTCTTAGATATCAAATATGAATCCTGTAACATAAACTGAAGGCCAGATTAACTAAAAGCCACCGTGTGCAAGAAATGAAGCCCAGCCAGGAACACGTGGTGCATGGCAGCCATACACTCCTCCAGAAATGCACTGCATTTGGAGGTCTCTCTGTTTGGGACAGGTTTGTCTGAGATCTCTGGGCTGTTTCTTCAGCCAGTTCAATCCCCCTCAGGGTGGCATCTGACACCCTCAGCCATTCTCAGTGTGGTGCAGCCACTCACCCTTGTACTTCACGTTCGGGAAGTGCCTGAAGATCTTTTCATAGGAGGGGTTGAAGGGTCCGATCTGAAATGATCACACAGTTAAACAGCTGTGCACTGTGAGTCTGTGCTCCTCTGGCTGTACTGGATGGCCTGTCACAAGGCAAGTGTCCCCACTGTCCAGATATTCATGTACCAGTGTGGCATAAGGGATTTTATAACTCAAAACTCTAACACTGTCCTCAGAGCACAGTTATGCTCCCACTGAGAGCTGTCAGAGCTGCTTTGTCAGGATGCTGCCTTAACAACAGCAGTGTAGACTTTACTGTGCCCTTGAAAGCCCCTGTTGCTCTTGCCTGTTCAGAGTGCTGAGCAAAAGGAGAGAAACCATTTCCTCTGAGAGCCTTGCAGGCATAAGTTCTCAGCTGACAGGCTTCTCAGATCATCTGCTGCTTTCTCATCAAAGCCACAGTTTTCCACCCACGAGCATTTTTCAGTCTGCTGCTCCTCTCAGTCCAGGAAGATAAAGAATGACACCATTGGGTACCACCAGCAAGGGCTATAACTCAACTATCAACAAAGACCATCTTTTTCAACTGCTACCAGCAGCTTTTCTGTCTGATAATCAGTGCCTTTTTTTCATTAATTCTTCAGAGTTGGTGCTTAGCAACTCCTCTGACAACCAGACATAGTAAACTGGTGTCCTTAGATCAACTGCAACAGCCACCAGCTGGCTGAAAGTTTTTCAAAGGTCTAATCTCCATTGTTCCCTAATTTGATTTTTAAATATCATTGCTTGGAAATAACCAGAATATCAGTATTATTCCCTAGCAAAATATACAATACTCTGAAACTTCTCACAGCTGCAATTTCCAAATTAACTGAAATGTAACACAAAATTACTGTCAAAATCTTAGAGCTGCTAGGAAGTGAGTTGGGATAGCATTAATGAGAGCTTTGTCTGCTAACTAGAACATTTTCACTTTTTTGATGGAAATGTGAAATCCTGGAGGTTTGGGTTTCTATGCTGCAGAAAATCCTCACATTTAACAATTATCTTTACAGTTATCTTATGAGGAGTTTTAATCCTCAAGAAAAGGGAGACATATACACACAAGGTACTAAAATAAAACCTGTTTATGATCATTATTATCTTTGTATGTGGGGCTTTAGAGAGGAAAATTGGAAAGTTGTCCTTCTGTCCTGTTAAAAAGGTCACTGAATTTACTTCTTTACTGTAAACTGTGATTCAAAGAATCTGAGAAGAGAGCAGCATGAAGACTGTGGTTAAATCCTAATTACATATGGTGGTCAAAGGCTGTGCCTGCCTGTGCCTCTGCTGGGTCAAAACTGCTCCAGGCTCCAGCAGTTCTGAGGAAGTGAGCTGGGAATTCACTGTTGCCTCCTGTTTCATAAACCCTACCAATCATCAGTTTGTAAATTAATGCAAAAATGGATTTAACATAGCTGAAGTTAATTTACTGAAAACCATGAGGCAATATTCAGAATTCCTCTTTTCTCAGAATGTGTTCCTGTTTTGGTATGTGCTGCTGGAATCTGACCTTTTATTGGTGAGAGGGGAAAGGAAAAACCTTTATTCAGCCACTGTATTGTTAAATGATCTAGATAATCTTGTACATTGATGACTTAATGATTGAAAGCATATTCTAAACAACAACAAAACCCCAAAGGATCCTACCTCGAGGAGAACAGCCAGAACTGCCAGTCCATCCTCTTTGTCCATTGCTGCTGTTACATCTGGATATTTCTCAGAGTTGTAATGCACAATATGCAGCTACAAAGAAGGGGATACTTTGTTATAGTAACATGTGGGTCATGCTCACATTTCTGTTTCACAGCTAAAAAGGACCAACTCAGCCACCTCAGGATAAGACAATATAAGGGGGTCCTTTAGTGATTTCTGGGTGTAAGATCCTTTTAGAGAAAAGCAAAAGGTCCTGGGAGTCCCATCGCCAGCCCTGCTGTAGCCAAGTTACACACACCTCACAACCCTCATAATGAAAGGGGGAAGAGGATCAATGACTTCAGCTTCAAAGCATCTTGACTGTAGTACTAGTAAATTTTTCTGGAAAAAAATCCCACCTTAACACTTCAATATTTAGAACACAAAACTCAGTGTTAAATAGAGAAGAAATGGATTCCTAAAGTGCTGTTATGCAAACAAATTATTCTGACTGACTTCTAATAATTTTGAGGTAAATATCTGATTGGCACTTCCTATCAAAATCTATTCCCAAATCCATCATTTAAGATTAGGAAAGGTAGCAAATAGTTCTTTGCTGGATAGAAGAAGGTGAGCAAAGGTAAATAGAGCAGCAGTGCCATGCAGCTAAAAGATATACCTGGTTTACAGAGAAGAACCAAGGTACCAAATATCTTGAAATGACTCAAGTGACCTTGTTCCAGCTCTGAGTTTGGAGCCCAAGTTCTAACTCCCTGGCTTAGTGACAGTACATCAGAGTCCACCTTTTTTTGCACAATCCATTTTTTAGTACATACCCAGATCTTAGCAGCCTTTTACAGCCTTATCCCCAGGACACAGATCCCACTCTGAAGCAGTGGGACCTGCCCACCCTTCTTTGCTCTTTCCCTGTCCTGAGCTTGTCTTACCTCTGCTGCAAAATGCTTCCCACCCACGGTGTGCTCCGAGCCTTCGGACTTGTTGCGGTTCCCCCAGTGCAGGTGGAGTTGAGATGCAGTGTATTCAAAAGGGAGGTTCCTGATGGACATGGTAGGGGACAGGTACATTTTCACTGCAAGCAGACCAAAGCCAGATGGGAGCAGATGATACCACAGCTCTCAAGAACAGGGCAAATAAAAATCCTCTGTCTAAGTATATTATGTAGGGAGCATGAACAAAGCAGGTTCTTAACTCAGACCCGTCTCAGTCTGGGGGGGAGATAAACACTTCAGTGCTCTTTAGCCCTTTCTAGGTAAATCAGGAGAATTTGGAACATATCCTTTTTCTACTTTCTTAAATGAAGGAATTGAGTGTGAGAATTGTTGCTAATGGAAATCTTTCTTCTCCCTGAAGAACGCAAATTTATCTCAGACTTATTGAAGAGACAATTAGTGATATGTTGGAGCAAAACTTAGGCTCATGTGCCTTCTTTCAATCCCCTTATAATGATTGAAAACGTCTTAGTAAATTAAGACTTATCAGGGTATTTTTTATCTCCCGTTACATTGAACTCCTCTGCTTCTTAATCTTCTTTTAGGAGCACATGGTAAAATCAAATAAACTTCTCCCTCTCTTCACTGCTTCCAAAACCCAGAACATTGATGTCAAGCAGCAAGATAACCACAGACCTTAAGAACTAGAATTTCCTCTCTTGACTGGATGGAGATCTTGGCATGCATTACCCTCCCTTCTGCTCACTAATACTCTCCAGTGGGGATGACAAGCTGGGTTTGGGGTTTTTTTGGTGTAGTAATTCTTAACTCAGGAGAAAGTTCTCAGTTGTTCACTGTTACTCCATAAAGTAACAGTTTATGTCAAGATCAGATTGATTTCTTTATTACTTTCTGGCGTGAATATAATTTGTTTCTGGAGTGTGCCAGACACATTTTTCAGGGGAAACGGGGCTCAAAACCTTAGTGAAGGAACAGCTGCAAGCCTATGGTCCTAAAAAGCTTATTCTGAGCTCTGTTTTTGGTCTAGCTGAAGTAGGTGATTGTATCTGGATGAGCTGGTTGGTGAAGCACAATAATTATATGTAGGAATGACTGACAGACAATACTAAGTGTCCTACTGGTTTCCTCTCTGGCTGAAAGAGAAGGCAGCAGCAGATTGTGTAATGATCACTCCAACAGAGTCTAATTTTTTATTACTCACAGCAATCAATTTGTACCTAAGTGAGGTTTCTAGAGTAGGTTGCATCTCCCCAGCTTTCTAGGAGGGCACTGACCTTAGAAGTGAATTCTCATTTTTACTGAGGGGGAACATGTTTTTGTCTTGGCTTTCATTAGGAAATAGTCAAACTCTGTTTTAGGGGCGAGATGTGACAGTGACAGGTGACAAAGGCTCTACAAGGAATTTGCCTGTACCTGAGTGACTATTATGTGAGGGACAGACTCCCTGTGATGTTCTTTTGCCTCCTGGCACCATCAAAGCCCACAGTGACAATGTTTGCTTCTCTGCCTATTGCCTGTCACTCACATCAGCCCAAAGCATTCAACTGTGACAGTGCAGTCTTTCACTCGGGACCAAGAAAGACTTTTAGGAAAAGAAGGCTCACAGGGAAAAGGTGTTCCAGCCATTCCTAGTTTAAAGGAACCTGCTTTTGATGGAGGAATTGATTAAGAGGAAAACCAGGAATCATGTCCTTATGATGTTCAATAGAGCAGGTTTACCTCACTGAAAGAATGAGAGAAAAAGAGACTTTTGCATGTTGGTCATCTTTTAACCAAACATGCCAGAGCAGAGCAGAGGCCATTTTATAACACAGGTTATTTTGATGCTTATAAAATAGAAAAGGATACAAAGAAGGAGAGCTTTATAACTGTTCTTATTCCTTTGTCTTCAAATGTTTCAGGAAGGAATGAAAAATGGTGGAACTAACTGGTATTATATATTGTGTCAATATAGTAGATCTTTATAAGACTGCATCTTCTCTGCCTTTACCTACTGTAGTGACACTTTGTTTAAGTGCTGCAGTGGGGAGGGCATGCTTGTATGCTATTTCTAATTATTATTCTGTCTTCTTACTGGTCTTATGCTAAAGAGGTTTCTGTCTGAAATCAAAGGAACAGAATGGTGCTCCTAGCTCTTTTTTTTTTTCTTCCTTCCTTGCCCATGTAATTCAGTTGAGCTGCTTTGATAGCCCAGGATGTCAGAGACCCATTACACTCATATTTTATCAATTTATCTCTTTTCAACAGAATCACAAAGTCTGTTGCTGTTTCAGAGCACCACAACCAAAGTAGTAAGAAAAGCTCAGGAATTAATTCTGACATGCCTAGAGTTTATTTTAAAACTCTTTATTCAAAACTCACCTTACTGGGCATGCATTTGTCCTTAGTACATTCCCAGGTTTCCCTAGCCTGTGCTGAAGATATGAAGGCTTTATCATCACAGCTTAATTTCATCTGATAACCAAAGCAGTTCACCCATGAAGCAAAAAACCCCACGAGTTCCTGCAACTCCCAACTCCTACTGTCACTGAGCTCCCTTACCTGAATGACCATTATTGGTCAGTGTAAAATGGTCAGTGGAGGACACGTTGTAGCCTATGAATTCTAAAGGCAGGAGATTGGAATCATACTGGAGAATATCCTTGTGGAAGTCAATTGGAGATTGGAACACTCCTCCACAAAATGGGTATTTCTTTGGCCAGGCCTTCTCTCCGTCAGGACCTGTGCAAATCAAGAGACACATTTGTCAAGCCTTAACACCAAATTTGGAAAGGAAGCCTTTTCTGAATTTTTAGGCAGTTTTTTTTTAAATCTCAATTTTATCTTTCCATTGGATATAGAAAATTGGATGTTGGAAAATTGCACCATTGGATAGAAAAGGGCCAAATGCAAAAAAAAATCTCACATTGAGACACTTCACTGCCTTCACTGCCCCTCGATTTTTTGACAGTCTCAGCTGCTGCTGATGTTACACTCTTGGGGAGCTGCAGGGCTGGCAGCTCACAGGGTTAGACCTGCAGGAGCAGCACCACGGGCAGGCACAGTGCCCCTGAGCCTCCCTGATGGCATTGTCTCTACAGGGCCCATGAACATTTGGATCTGTGACAGTAGTTGGATTATTTACTGACAGGAATCACTTTTCCCTATGGAAGTAGCAGGCACAGGCCCAGGAAGGCAGCTATTCCAGCCTTCTGAAGAGGATTGCTGAAAGAAGTGACTTCATGTTGAGAGAGTTCAGTGCACAGAAAGCAAACCCCTCACAGACTTTCCCTCACTGTACAAACTGTCTGGCTCTATCCAGCCAGACTGCATGACCCACACCGAAAAGCTAACTTGCAAAAATGGAAGGTGCTATGATAATTTGACCTGCAATAACTTGCTCAAACTCTGATGAAACTTTCCTTCATCACAGTCTTTTGCCCGAGGTAGGATCTACAAAGAATAGATAATATCAAGAGAATTTTAATTGTGCCTTTGATTTAATTACACATTAATAGCCAGTAGCTGTTCACAGGCTGTAAGCTGAGACTATTTGGATCTAAATACCAAAAGAAATACTTGCAACTTGTGTTTCTCCTTGTCTCTGAACATTAGTCATGATTCTTTCCAAGGCAGGAAGGTCTTTTGGGATCACCAGCCCGGTCTGGATAACACGGGACACTGAGCCTCCCTGCTTCAATGAGGCCACATCTTTCAGAAGGGAATAAACATCTACTCTTCCTTTAAGCTTTTCAGGTAAAAGATACTTCATTAGTGCTCTCCTCAGCAGCTTCATTTTCACTGTGAGCCTGTTGTCACCACATTTTTGTTCCTCACTGAAGTACTTACAACACAGAGGATATAGTTTCTTACTTCTCTTAAAATAAATCCCTTGAGCCTTTGGTTAGAAGGCTTCTCTTCCAAACCTATAATATTCCTTGTGGCTTCTTTGAAGATCAGGTCATCAGTGGCAAAGCAAGTTCAGATCTTTTCTGAAGGAAATTAGCAGCCAGGAGGATATTATTAGAGGCTCACTTTATTTACATGCAAGGCAGTTGCCAAGTATATGGATAGTGGAGGTGAACCTGACTTAAACAGTGTGTGTGACAGAGGCAAGTGCAATTCTGGTGCTTAAAGACAGACTTACTTCATTGTCAAAGCTGTTTAAAATTATTCAAGACACAGGTTAACACATGACATAGTTTGCAGTGTGGATATTCAGACTCAGTGCTTTTCAGTATGAATAGGCCTTGATGTTGCTGCAGCTTAAATCTTTGACTCCAGTTTGCTGACAATCACATTAATTTCTCTCCTCTTAGATCCTAAAGTCACTGAAATTCCTTAAAAAGCTAATAAATGTTATGCTGACATTATAGAAGACTGCATACTATCCTCTACCTATTTTTTGGCAAATAACAAGTACATCCACAAGAGCATAAATTCCAAATATACTCAAGAATATTTCCCAGGAAAATATACATCAGGATTTCCCAGGAAATGATAGTTTCTTAGGTTGAAACTTAATGTGCAAGACAATGACACTGATATTTAACATTTTTCAGGGAGTTAAGACTCAAACAGTGTCAGAAAAACTGGTGAGAAACCCTTATTGTAAGAAGACTCAATCATTTAAAAAAGGTTTTTTAAGGCAGTGAGTTTGCAAGAAGACTTTAATATACTACATATCACAGGTTTGGAGACTTGATAATTAAATAGGTAATTGATGTATAAAACACAAGTCTAGTCCCAGCCAGTGAAAACCATGTCATGAAGTAGAAATCATCTTTTCAGTACTATGTTTGGATAAACTGAATACCCTGAAGAGTTGGCAGCAGAAGATGGGAACTTCCACACCCGCATCACCAGTTCAGAAGGAAAACTTTTGTATTTTCTATAAAATGCTGTAGTTATCACAGTCTTTATGTACTTTGATCTTTACTAGCAGTTATCCTTTCCTTGGCATAACTCTGCAACTCACTCACAGGCCTTTAAGCTACAGCAGTTTTTGCTTGTTTCTCACTCCTGCTCAATTAGGAAAAACCCAACAAAACCAAACAAAACCCCTTTTTTGGTACAAAACCAGTTTTTATAGAAATTCTGCCTTTTGTCACGTAGTCTTTCTAATTTCAGTGCCTTGAAACTCTTGTCTCAAAGAGCTGAGCTCACTGCAGCTTGGGTTTGCATATGTGAAATTGAGATTTCCATGGTAGATAAACCACACAGCTGGAAGGCATTTCTCAGCTAGGTCTGTTGAAAATGAATGATTGATTGTGAACCAGATTTTCCTTTTTCTGTGCCAGCACATTCAGATAAATTCAGTGGAAATCACATCGTGTTTACAAAGGCTTTGTCTGATTACTACTGAATAAAGAACAGCGTGTGGATGTATTAACATTGGCCTGTGCTACAGGTCCCAAAAGGTATTAACATAAGAAGTATTGCAAAATTATCTTCACAGTTAATTTTCTTCTTTTGTGAAAGACCCAGGCGCTTCAGAAGGTGTTCGCTGCTCTGAGGATCCCATCAGCACTGTCAGCAGAGCAATAACTGTGCCATGGGCCTGTTCTACCCACTCAACACTGTTATTCAGCTGTTGGAGGGAGCAAATGAAGGCAGGGAGCTGTTGGTGTGAGTGGAAGTAGGACCCTCGTGCTACCCCTGCTCCCAGTGCTGCCAGGAACGTTCCCTGGTGTAGGGAGTGCAGACTCAGGCTGCTCAAATCCAGCTTGTGGGTTGCCGCCTTTCATTTGATTTTCCAGGACCGTGTTCCCCTACCACACTGTAAACAGCCCTGAGCCTGGCTGTGCCCTCGTGGCTGTTTTATAAAAGCTGTCTGTAAATAAAGCAGCAATAATTTCCTGGACAGTCAGGCTGCCCAGTGAGCTGAGCCAACCACCCTCAACGGGCTGCCTGTGCCCATTGTATCGTCTCCTCTGCCAGCTCTGGCTTTGCAGCCAGGCCCACAGCACCCCAGTGGGGTCTGCTCCCAGGATGTGCACATGGGCTCATTTAAAACAAGGAGAAAATAGGCCTGTGAGACACCAGTGTTACCAGCACTGGTAAATGCTCTGATGACCAATTAATATTCGTGTTGGGGGGAGGAATCACAGGGTTTCCATTGCACTCAGAGCTCAGGCAGAGCTCAATCCCACCATTCTGGGCACACAGAGCCGGGGTGTGGATACCCAGAGGGAAGCTTGGGAGGTAGAGGAATTGCCAAGAGCTGTAGCTGTCCCTGCTACTGCATTCAAGTGCTGTATGAGAAATTTGGGGCATGTTTTAGTGTGTTCACCAGAGCTGGCATTTCCTAAGGGGAACTGGAGGGTCTTAGCACAGGCTCTCAGCACCCCACTGAATTGGAGTATTTGGTAAGAGAAGAATGAAAGAGTGTACAAGTACAATTAGCCTGCTGTCTGTTAACAACAGTTCTTGTGTCTACATTGCAGCATGAGGTTGTCTCCTCACATGCTAAAGCACATTTATAATTCTGTTGGCACTATTACTGCTAAAGCAGGTTAGTAATTCTGTTGGCACTATTACTTTGAACTTGTCTGTAAAGCTGGTTTTCTGCATTGTAGCTGCTTGTCCACTCTGAAGGGATGACTCTGGTTCTCTGATTTCCTTCTGACCCACCTACATTACAGAAACAGAAACCCAGAATCCAAAGAATTGAAGCCCCACATCCACTTTTAGCAATTTTCTCCTGGGGCAGAGGACTTCAGGCCTGCACCTTCCAGCCACACAGCAACATTGCCAGGAGCTGTGTGCACATGTTGTCCTAAGCTATGGGGCATCAGAACAATTCCTTCAGTTCTTTAACTGAAAACACTTTTCTTACAATGTGCTTGATGTCTGTTGTCCATTTTACAGAAGGTGAAGCAGCCCATCAGAGAACACAGAGCCAACCTGTGCCACGAGGGCCGAGGGCTCGTGCCTCAGCTCACTGCTCTGTGGTGTTTCCTTCAGCCACTTTTTTTTTGGGATACATACAAGAATAGTGAAAACAGGAAGAAGAAATAGCATTACTGCAGCTTGGCTAAGGAAGAAGCAAACAGAGAAGAGGTTTAGCCTTTTTATTTACTGTATCTAATGTAGTAGTTTCCATTATAGCCAAGACAAATGCTCATTTCTTTGGAAAGCTTGTGCTGAACAGATAAGGCCTGATCACATGCTGTGTCATCTTTGCTTTGCCACTGTGCCCTGAGCTGCTAACACTGTATCCACAATCAGCTTTACATACTCTCCTGCTCAACAAATCTACTCCTACTCCACCCTTAATCTTACACCTTGACCCTCATCTTGACATCAGTCTGCACTGTCATTATAATTGCTTGCTTTCCTTTCCCTTCCTATTGACTTACCTGTAGTGAAAGGCATTGCAAAGTGCTTCAGGGATGAAGATAAATGGTGGGAGGTTTAGGCTGCCATAAGGAACCAGGATCAGTAGAAGAGTATGGAGAGGCTCTTCTCTGGCTTTGTGCAGTCTCTCTAATACCTGGTTTTCTCTGTGCAGATCAATGTTCCACTTCTGCTTTTCTGTACTACCCTGTACAAGTTCAGTTGCAACTTTAATTTTTTGAAGTTGCTTTTATATATTTTCTTTCATATGTTTTTCTAGATATATTTTGAAATCAGTAGTTGAAGGAAAAAGATAATCTGTTTTGTGAACCTTCCCTCTATCGTCCAGCACATGTTAGAATATAGAAATCAGACTGCAGTATGGAAGAGCTTAACAGGAACTGATGAAGTTGGGCACTGAGAACAACACATTTGGAAATAAACACTGGCCCTCAAATTCCCAGAAAGGGAGAAGTAACTAATTGAAACAAGCACTGCCCTGGGATGGAGAGCAAAACTTCTACTTTGATGGTTAAAGGAGCAAAAGTAGTCTTGTTTTCCTTACTACCCAGCAGGGTTAGGTTTGTCTGATGGCTGCTGTCAAGGTAGAAAACCCAGGCTTTTGTCAGTGAAACTGTGTCAGACTCTTTCCCTGGTGAGAGTGGGAAGTGTCTGTGTGTGCAGGGCAGTCAGGCAGTACCTGTGCACACACAGCTGACAGTTCTCTGCTTACGTGAAGCCAGTCAGGTAAAGTGGAGCTCAGCCAAAGGGAGGGAGGAGTTCTGAGATGCAGCTTCAGCCTCAGAGGTTCTGCCTTGGAGCAGCACCAAAAGCTTAAGAACAAGCATTTTTTTGGTGAGATTCCCAGTACTGCTACTTCTCTGTGGACATGTGGCATATAAAATGCTACTCTGAGTGAAGAAATACCTGGCTAGAGGATTTGACCAATTAAAAGAAAACATCTAGATAAATCTTCTTTCTGAGCAGCCACCAGGTCCTTCTAGGTCAGTAGCTCACAAAAAGGACTAGTTACAAATCAGTTCAATTAGTTACAAACTAACACTGTTTTCCTGAATATGATTTATTCTGCTTTGTCACTGATTTTTGGGGACCCAAGTCTTCAGTAACATGATACAGGTGATTTGTGAACTCTGACTCAAAAATGAAGACCCATGTGGGTATGGAGAGGAATGCTCTCTGCAGAACTAGGTTCAAATGTGCTGCTGGTCTGTGACTGGTGAGGAAACAGGGTTTTGGGGAACCTCTGCAGTTGTAGGGTCAACCTCAGTCTGCTGAAGTTCCTGTCATTCCACAAGGCAATTTAGAACTCAATAACTGGCTCTCAGTCACCCAGATGTGAAACCTGATGGATTGAAGAACAGATTTCAAGACAACTGACCAGATCCAAACCTGAGTAAAGGTAGTGAACCCAGTAAATACCCACCAGAATACATTTGGCATGTTATCCTTAAAACACAGAAGAAAGCTGTAACTTAGTATGTATGAATTATACAAATTAGTACTTACCAATATAAGACCACTTCGACCCTGTTCAAAGACAAAGAAAACATTACTATGAATATTTGAAATTGATCTTACTCTGTAAAGAAACAAATTGCTACTTAAACCCATGTACTGCACTGTGCAATACTTTCATCTATTTTTCCAGCCCCAGCTGTTGAGCAAACCATAGACACTTCCAAAGATTAGGAACCTTTCTTGCCCAAATTGTAATCATAATTATCCCTGTGATCCTGCCCATAAACTCTTGTCAGTCTATCTTTTTCCTCTTTGATGGAATATCCACAGACTTTGTATGTAGGTACATCCCTGATTTTTTTTCTGGCTAGGAAGGTAAGGAATTTAAATGGGGTGTAGCTACAACAAACCCCTTCATGCCTAGTTGAGGAGTTTGAAAAACATCAGTGATTTGCCAGTTGCTACACTGGGAAATGATGGACAGTCATTTCTGTACAGCTCTGGGCTTTGCCAACTGAAACAGGGATTAATAGATAGACTTCGAAGAAAGGGAGTGTGATACATGAACCCATGGAGCTCAGCGAATCCTGGGAGGGTGAATGAGTGTTAAAATGATCAATACTCACCCACTGCTTAAGGAACTGAACTTGGGACAGTGTCTCTACATGTCTTTGGAAATGTCTTGACTTATTAAATGCTCTTTTTAATTATTTTATTCCTAGTCCTGAAACCTGCAATCATACAGCTTGCTGTGTAATTAGAGGTGCTTGTCCTGACAGACCTGAACAGTTCTGGTTATCAGGCTCATGCAGATCTTCATTCCTTCCAAATTTAATTTTGCTTCTGCTTAGAAAGCAGTCCTGAATCACAAGTCTTGCAAGCACCCAGTGTGCCTGTGAGTGTGCAGATATTTATCCTCACAGGCACAATACATGGCTCTTGGCTGCATTTCCTGTGCTCTGAAATGTGGTCACAGATACAGCTCTTCTCCAAGGAATGTTGTGTGAAATGTTTGGGATTAATTTGTAGGGAAGTGAGAAACAGCTGCACTTGGCTCTTTTGTATTGATATTTTGTATCAGCCTGGAACACTGAACTCTCTGCTTTCAGTTTGTTAGGCCAGTGTGCCTTGTTCTTTTACACTGGAAGTTTCAAAGCTGTGTAATCACCCTGGCTGAAGACCTCAGGTTCTTCCTGTAAAAGAATTCATGCACTGTCTTCAATTTCAAGATGGGAAACTTCATTTTCCTCTCACCTTCACTCTCGAGGGGATTATCTCTTAGTGAGGTCTTTTGGGGGTTCCTTGTGTCTTCTGCTCAGAACATTCTGCAGGTAAAACTTGTATAAAGACACCAAGTGACTGGCAGTAGATTTTAGAAATATCCTCATCTGAGCAGGGTTTGAAGAAATATTGGCTTAACTACAATAGCTACTCTGTTCATGCTCTTACTGACCACTGAAATGTGTATGGAATGTCAAAACTATGATTTTCATAATCTAGAATAACCTTAAAACAACCAAATATTTCAAATATTTTCGATATTACGGCCAGTTACACCACTTGACACAAAAATACATAAAAGCTTCAAGTCTTTTGCCAAGTGAAATATTCCTTAGCCTGTGAGCATTTTGATGACCTGCAGTTCACTACCATCATGACTTTACTGGTGAGCACAATCACAGCAACTGGTGTAGGTTGGGCTGAGGCACATTTATACTCCTTTCATCCAGCTTAGGTCAGGAGATGAAGAGGTGACCAGATGGCAGAATCTTCTTGATCTTGTCTGAATGATCATACAGAGCTGCCAACCTCAGACTGTGAGCAAGGTTATGATCCTTACTTTGGCTGATAATGAAATGAGGAGGAGGCAGATTGTCACGCTGCCTCCCAAAATCAGAGGCTTAACATCTAGAGGGGAACAGGGAACAGCTCTGTGAGCACTCTCCTGCCTCTTTGTTGATGCTGGGATGAGTGCTGGTGAGCAGCACAGTTAATGCCCATGCATGGCAGAGGGGGTTCCTGGAGCCAGAGAATCTGCCCTTCATTCAATAGACAGGGAAAAAACACCTTACCAATGTCACTTGGGAACTGGGAAAGTGGGAATGGTTGTAGTTGTGATAATCTACTTGGGAAGATGTCAGAGATAGGCAGATACTGTAGCTCTTGCCATTCCTTGGTACTAATTCTAAGATAGGAGCTCTCCAGCATTCCCTTCAGGATGCAAGGTAAGATATCTTTTCAACACATCCTTGCAATTCCAAATCTTCCATGTGGTCACAGAAAACACCCAAAAAGCATCAAGTTTATTCTCTTATTCTGGAAAGCACTTCTGCCCTTCAGGTGGGAGATTCTACTGGAGAATATTGGCATTTTTCAGAGGATATATGAACAACAAAAGATGACCTTAAAAGTTTTAATTCCACACCTTATTCTGCTCATATGAAAAATGGTAAAATGCTTGTCTTGGCAGAGCTCTGCATGGAGCCAACAGCTCCGGATCATGTTTGAACCTTCAGGATTTTGGTCCAATGAATATATGTGCTGAGCAAATCCTCTCACACAACCCTTTATAATGATTCTCCCTGGTATCCTATAGCAACACTAGGTGGATGATAATTAGCTTGAAAGGGTGAAAATTGATTGCAATCAGCTTGAATATATGAACATTCACTCCTAAAAAGAACTAATCCTATTTAAATATAAGAGAAAGAGGATGCTTCACAGGGATTGCCTTTCCCCCCCTCCAGTTTAAAAATAAACAGGGCAGAGGGAAAGCTGTGATGCCTCCACTAACTCTGAGTCTCTACTTTGTTCTATAAGAAACAAAAAGATGTCAAAGCAAGGCATACTGAGCATGAAAGAACTCTATAATGCAAACTAAACCAGAGGACAAATTTCTCTTTCCTGTATATGCCAGAATACCTGTACTGAGAAACTGAAATAAGGGTACTGACTCCAAACAACCACAGACTGCAACAATATACAATAAACTTCAAGCATGGTATTAAAGTAGCACTAATTAAAAGAGGCCAGTTTCCTGCACACACAGAGCTGCCCTAAGTTACAATAAAATAGAAAGCTGAAAGACTTTACCGTTCACCGGCGCTTGCACTGAGAGTTGTATCTTTAGGAAGAAAATCAGCACAGTAGCCACTGTGACTGCACTGAAGCTCTTGGCTGACATCTCAAGGAAAGACTTATAATATTCCAGCAGTTCACAGGTTTCTCTGCACTCTGAAGAAATACCCCTGTAGACATGTGGCAAGTAGCAGAATGCACACATACAGAGCTTCTGCTAATGAGTTATTGCCCTCCTCTCCCCTTTTCACTCTTCTTGCTTTTAGGACTGCTTTTTATAAAGCTCCTGAGACTCAACCCAAAACAAATGATGTAATCAGACCTGCCTCTAGGTCACAACACCCTCAGAAAACTGATCATATCCCTCATTACCTCAGTTTTAGTGAGGTGCTCAGAGGGCAGACTCCAGCACTTAGAGAGGGAATTTAAACCTGGAACTTCAGAAACCCTTTAGCAGAGACACAAATGCTTTAAAAAGCTGTCCTCTTATGGGCCATACCACAGCAGAGTCTTTCCAGCCTGTTTGAGTGTCTCCCTCAGCTCCCAGGTTTGGATCAGTCTGGTGTAGCATAATGGCCCACTGTGAGGACTGGAGGGAGAGGAAGAGAAGTGAGGCTCTGTGTGGGACTGGTAATAACTCAGAGGGACCATGGACACTTCCCACGAAAACTGTCCAAGAAAGTGTATATATTAAAATCCCTGAAATTAGAACTCAATATTTTTCTTTATGAAAAGGTGGGTTCTCTTTTCTCTTTTCTTTTTGTTATCTGTGGATGTAGAAGTCTTTAGTAGTCCATAGGAAAACAACAGTTTGCTAATGGAATAGTAACAGTAGTTACTCTATGTTAAAAATAATATTATTTCAAAGTGGTTGTTCTGAAATGTCTTTAAATCATCTCTATCTTATAAAAGAAAGGGCTAATAAAAATGAAGTACAGTAACTTGCAGTTAAAGTAAAATTTCCTGATGATATAAACACAGATAATTTCCATGTTTGCTCTTCAGTCTATTTAAACTTTTCTCATTTCATATGCTGTGTAAAAATAAGTGAATAAATAATCCTGTAAGAAGGAACCGTAACTCAGAACTCTCTAGCTCCAAGTGAGGGAGGGATTTTTTTTAAGCTGAAAGCTCTTGGAACCAGGAGAAGACATGAAGCAGGGAGGAGTGAAAATTCATGCAGAAACAGCCACAGAATCTAATGTTATGTTCAGGACATGGAGAGGGGTAAAGAGGACCACGGGTAAAAGTTAATGTCCTTTTCTGAGGACTGAGGAATAAACTGTTAAACTGAGAGCACCATGGATAGCTGAGGAGCAGCAGGTGGCATTGAAGAACTATTGGTTTTAGCTGAGTACATTATTTTTTATAATTGTTATTAACTGCTTACTACATCTCAGTAACAGCTTTGTAGCATGTATTAGTATTGATTGGTCAAACTTGATTTTCAGCATCTTCACTTACCAACTACTTGCTCAATGTTATTAGACTTGCTTACTTTTTCCTACCATCATTTATGAGGTTAATAAAGGGAAAGGGGAGTTGACTGGGCTCACTTTTGCCTGGATCCCAGGTAAAGCACAATCCTGGTCCATGGCTGCAGTTCATCCCTAGCCCTGTCCTCCCAGTCCAGGTGGAGGGAGGCTGCAGGGAGCAGCAGCAAATAGGTAATGTCTTGGAGCCTTTCAGAAAGCAGCTGTGGTTGAGTTCACTTCCTCTCTGGCATTTTGTAAACCTAGATTGTAATTCTGCTTGTTTTGGTTCATCCAGATGTAATTAAGAGAAAGAGGGTGTCAGCTATTGAGCAAATTATTTTAACAAGACTTTTCAAGTGCCATTGTCCAAAAAAGAGGGTCATTGTCTCCTGTGTTTGTACAGAGAGGCCTGCTGAGTGTGCTGAACCATGTGAGCTCTCAGGACACAGTTGTTGCTGCCTGCAGGACCTTTCCTAACCTTCCCTAATGGAAGTTTGGAAATATACAGTTTTGTATGTTTCTGTAGAATACCTGATTTTTGTCATCAACCTTCACAGAACTGGCAACCTGTCTGCCAGGCTGCTGGGGCTGGTACCAACAGCTGGGAGTTGCCTCCTCTACAAAGAGGTCGTGCCATGTAGGAGGGTATGGACTGACCTGTCTTCCAAACTGTGTCTTCCTATCTCCTTCCTTCACCTCTTCTGCCAGTGTTCTTGAAAAGTTCCCCATGATGAAGTATGCTCTGATTCTTAGAATCCCCCTTGGATCTTTTTTGCGTTTTCATCATCTACATCTCTCCCTCCCCAGTTTCTGCTATGGCAGAAGCCATAATTTGGCTTCACATCTGTGGGAGGAATTCCAGGCAGTGCTTGTGCTTTCAAGGCTGGCTGGATAGAAAGCTCTTTGCTTCTAAAATACAAGCCCTAAAAAAGAAAAAAAAAAAAAGCTCCCTGACACAGTTGTCTGCCTGTGTTCTGCACAAACTTCTTAGGGCTTGCTACTTTATTCTAGGTTTAAGAAATTTGAGGTTACTAGCAACTAGTCTTCATGTCAGCACCAGGCCAAGGCAGTGGCAGAGCAGGGTTTTTATAGGCTGGGGGGCTCATGGGAAGTAGCAGATTTGGGTCCCCGTTGTGAAAGGTCAGGGTGAATTCTGTGGTGTGGGTTTATCAATCTTCAACTCACACTGTCTCCTGCTGCCAAGGCAGTAGCAGTGCACAGACTAATGTGACAGTGGGAAGTGTACAGGGCAAGTCTAAGGCAAATGGAGGAGAGGAGGCATTCTCTTCAGAGAGCAATGAAGAGTGAAAACTGGAGGTTTCACTTGCAGATTTGTGATGATTTGCCTAACCACCCTCACTCCCTCTTCCTGGTGTGTTTAGCTTCGAAAAAGAGGCTGTAATAAGACAGAAAATAAGGTTCTGATGTGAGCAGTGTCAAGGGTCAGAGTAGATGCTGATACTGCATTTCTTCAGGAACATTTTAGCAAACATATGGATAAGTGGCCATAACAAACAGCCTGTGGAGCCCCTTGCACACTGTAACCAGAAAGCAAAGGCCAATTGGATCCAAAGACAGCAATCACCTCCCTGCAGTCACTGGAATCAGTCTGGGTCACAAGGCCTCACCCACAGCCCAGTTAGTGGGGCTGGGCGTGCTGGGGCCCAGTGAGAGTGGCTGCATGCAAGGGTGGCTGCAGCACCAATCACCCAACCCCAGGGAACCTGCTGCCTGTAAGCACAAAGTGTAACCCCAGAGCTGTCTGAAGAAGGGCACAGCATTGACAGGCAGAGGGAGCGTAGCTGTCTCAGGAACCCTCACAGTGCTTGAGGAGCCTTAGGTGTCAGGCACTTTGCAGCACTGACACAAGACAAAAGCCTTTAAATTCAGCCCTGCTTTCACATTTGAACAGTGCTGGAATATAAACCTTGATGTCTGTGTTTGAAATGTTAGTGCACACTGCCATTAAGTCCACTCTCTTGGAGTCTTTAGTTATGCAGATAAAACATATTGTTCAGAGCATCAGTATTTGTTGTCTTTTTTTGACACTGTTTCCCAAGAAAAGACACTCTATTGTTAAAGTGGCCACTTCCAGATTGTGGGTATTTATGAGTGGCATCTGTATCACAGGCAAGTTCCTTGTTTCCTTGACATGATCTCCCTGCAGGCCTTTCAGTCTCTCACAATTCCTGTGCAAGGCAGGAAATTGTTCCTTATCCTTGCTTATATCATACCTACCCTACTGAAAGATCACATACTTACGGTTAGTTGTTTGACAAGCAGATGAAGCTGAGAATAAATAATCCTTCTAAGTATTCCCTGTCTGCCTTTCACAGCCAAACCTTAGCACTAGGAATGCCTTCCTGCCACCCTGTGCACAGGTAAGGTGAAAACCACAGGACCCTCCTGCACCAGCTGGCTCCAGCTGCGGGGCTGGTCACAAGTGCTTCCCACAGGTGATCCAAGACTGGCAGAAGCAATTTGTGACAGTCAAGTTCTTTTTTATGAACACGCAGACAGCTGCCAAACCACTTGTTACATTTTAATGAGCAGATCAGATGTACAAAATAATAGGCTGAGGGTCACTAAAGGGTGAGGGAAGGAGGGAAACAGCAGAATTGGGAGATGCAACAACAGATGGAAATGCTGGACTGTCTCATCTGGCTGTCCCAGTTCTGCCTTCCTTCCTAGAGTAGACACCTGCACCTCACTTACTTTTGGCTCTCTAAGGAGCTGGAGGCATTTGTGGTCTGTTAAATTCAGGGGACACTCACCCAAACCCTGGATCTACACATCTCACTTTAGGAGCTGAATTCTGGTCTTGGTAGGTGAAGACCAACCAGGCAGGAGCTGGAGACACAGGAGCAGCCACGGGAGACTTCTCTTGAAAATCCACAGCTTTCTCTGGCAAGATGATTGGTCTGTTTTCTGCCTTCTAAGCTTAAGCACCACAGTTTTTGCTGTTGCACTTTTGTGGCTTGAATCTCACGGCTTCGTGTGGCCACAGATCTGTGTATGTCTGTCTGTCTGCAGTGCAGTCACACTTACACAAAGATGAAACCCAGAGGCAGTCCAGTCTCAGAAATTCATTTTGAGTCTTGCAACTCCTTTTGAGTCTTGCAACTCCTTTTGAGCCTTGCTTTGCAGGGACAAACCATTAGACTGCAGGAATAACAATGTTCTGCACTGTTCCAAAACTTGGGTCTTGCTGACATCAGGAGACCCTTCAAAAGGCATTGAGAAAGTAGAAACTGAGGATGTGTGCTGGTTTTGGTTGGGATAGAGTTAGTTTTCTTCACAGTAGCTGCTCCAGGGCTGTGTTTTGGATTTGTGCTGACAGCAGTGCTGGTAACACAGGTACTGCTGAGCAGGGATGAGGGGACATTCAGAGGGGTGGTGTTTGTCTTCCCAAATGACGTGTGATGGAACCCTGCTTTCCTGGGAATGGCTCACAGTGAATGAATTCCTTGTTTTGCTTTGATGCAAGTGCAGCTTTTGCACAACTTATTAAACTCTCTTGATCTAACCCTTGATTTTTTTCACTTTTTTTCCTGATTTTTTTCCTCCATCCCAGCTGGGAGGTGGGAGATGTGTGTGAGCAAGTGGCTGTGCCATACTTGCTGGCTGGGGTTAAACCACAGCAGAATAGCTGTAAGTTCATCCTTGGAAATTAGTATTTAGTCCTCTTGGCTGTAGAACTAGGACTTGCACCTTAGGAATCACTAGGTGAGGACAAAGAGATCCCAGAAAACATGTGTATGAGAC